AAAGAAAATATGATTTTATGCCTTATTTTGTTTATGTTAATTGTTATTGTTAAAGAACTAATGATGTATGCCAGGAATGTTCAAGAATAAATGTAAATTCAAAATAATTGTTTTTTTATTTATATTTTATAAGGATATTTATGTATTATGATCTTATAATTATTAAACTTTTATTATGTTATTAGGATATATACATGATGGAGATATAACTATGTTTAAATATCTTTTTATATATGTTTGGAGTATTTATAAATAATATTTAGAAATATATTATATTAAATTTTAAAAACCGACTTATTTCCGATTTATCATCGATTAATCACCGCCGCACCGATTAATCGTGAGTCGGTGCCTGACCGACTCGAACCCGATTACCGCTTTTTACAACCTTGAATTATCAGTACATGTTTTGAACCTTTTAATTATAAAAATAAACAAGTAATTTAGTATTATAATAATTTATAAATATTAATAATAATTGGAAAATATCGGAAAAAAAAAATCGGAAAAAATGGAAAAAAATCGGAAAAATCGGAACAAATTTCGGATCGGAATTCGGAAATTACGAAATTTCGATATGTATTTCCGATTCCGATCCGATTTTTTTTCGGAATTTTTGGAATTCGGAATTCGGAATTGAAAAAACCGTTCCAAAATCGGAAATTATCGGATCGGATTCGGCGGAAATCGGAAATTTGGTTCCGATTTCCACCCCTTGACTCACTTATGTCCTTCCTTGTGAATTAAGCAAGATGATGTTGACTTTGGGCTTGATAGGTTTTTTGAAATAGAATTATTTGTGCAAATGAAGCCCAACGCAAAAGAGAAGGCCCACAATTCATCCCATTTATTATTTTTTAGGGCAAATGATACTTATACGGTATACCACACACACATTGTCTTCTTCGGGGTTTATCTTCTCTCTCCTTGTCGATTCATTTCACAATTCAATTCAATCAAAAAAATGGAACTTGAATCTTCTTCAGCAACATCAGTTCGTGCTTCTAAAAGGCTGCGATTGTCATCTGTTTCTCAAAAAGTCTGTGTCGTTTTGCGATGTATGCATCCCGATGGTGACGAATATAAATTTTACATTGTGGATTTGGATTCATCCTCGGGCGGCGGCGATGGCGATGAATTCATTCATAAGAAACCCATTATTCGATTCAAAGGGAGTGTTCCTGGGGTGGCCTTTTGTGCTCTAAATTCCACACTTTATATGTTTGAGGGAGATATGTTTCTGGGTGGCAGAATGGGCGGAAGAACTTTTGCAGGTAAGTTTGAGATAAGCGAAGAAATCATCGATTATAATCTGAAGAAAGAAAACCTAGTTAAGATCAAGGCTATGCGTCACGGGAAAATTTCTCCTATAGCTCTTCCCACACCAGACGGTAATCGTATTTTAGTTTTTTCATCAGAAATCATCATGGGTGATGGTGGTCTGTTTTATGGTGATATTTTCGAGTTATATAACGTTTCTAATGACACGTGGGAAGATCTCCCTCCACTGGTACCTAGCTGTGGTGGGTCTTCTTTATCTTCTTTTCTAATTCAATCCTATGGATTTCTGACTGATTCCCGTTTTGTGATTCTGATCGAGTATGGTATCTATGGTCTCGAGTTTGGTATCTATGGTCTCGATCTTAACGCTCAATCTCAATCTAAGGTCTGGGAAGAATTTGGTGGTATTCCTGATTCACTTGATGGCTATTTTATAGGGATTGGGATTCATGATTATGAGTTTTATTTCACTCCTCACTGGGCTTATGCTAATTTTAACTATGGAGATATCAGTGAATTCCAAATTCCGGTATCAGAGTTTCCTAATGATTATGATTATGTTCCATCCAGTGTTCTAAAAATCGGCCGAGGCGGCCGATTAATCGGTCGCCGAGGCGGAGGCGGTCCAAAACCTTTACGATTTTAGTGTAAAGGTTTGAAAAATCGGTTTTTTGCCTGTGAGGCGGTTTGAGGCGGTCCGAGGCGGTCTGAGGCGGTTAAATCGGCAAAAAATCGGTCAAAAATCGGTTTTTTTTTTTTTTTTTTTTTTATAAATCAAAATAAAAGTTGGGATTTTAATAAAAAAAAAAAAAGGAGTTTATGCTTTATTTTGTTTATGTTAATTATTATTTTTAAAGAACTAATGATGTATGCCAAGAATGTATGTAAATTAAAAAAAAATTGCCTTTTTATTTATATTTTATAAGGATATTTATGTATTATTATGATCTTATTATTATTAAACTTTTATTATGTTATTAGAATATATATACATGATGGAGATATAACTATGTTTAAATATTTTTTATCTATGTTTTGAGTGTTTATAAATAATATCTACAAATATATTATATTAAATTTTAAAAACCGATTTATTTCCGATTTATCATCGATTAATCACCGCCGCACCGATTAATCGTGAGTCGGTGCCTGACCGACTCGGACCCGATTACCGCTTTTTACAACATTGGTTCCATCATATGTAAGACACTGTGATGTACTGATTCCCCACACGACACTTTTAGGTCATAGTGAAGATGGTGTTTTCGATATGGTTTTTGTGCAAGCAAAGTTTCATCCAGTCGATCCTTATGCCCAAAATCTACGTGTGATGCTGGATATATATCAGACTGATACCGAGCAATTCAAAAGAGCTACGGAGAAGAGGCACAATCGTCTTTGTGAAAAGCTTGGGCATGTCACTAAAACTCTCAAGCTCATGCTTGATTTTGATCTCTCTACTTATTTATGGGGACAAATGTATTTGTTTTCCATTTGAGCCCTTTTGTTCCTTTTGTCTCTTCAAAGATGTTTTATTTTCATCTTCAAATTCTCTCTTGTATTATTTTTAATCTTTTTTTTTTTTGTTCTTCAAATACTGGACGGTGAAATTATTTATTTCTTTTATTTCTTAATCCTTTCTATGATTCTATTGTTTCTTTTATTTCTTAATCCTTTCTATGATTCTAGACAACAATCATGACATAACTTATGCTTCTTTGGTACAAAGTTGATCATTTGGCAAATATTTGATCTTTTCTATTGTACAATAGGCTAATTGACATTTGAGATATGTCATAAAAATGAATGTTGGGAAATTTGTTTTAGAAGAAAAAAAAAAAAAAATCTTTAAATTGCGTCATTAGTTTACCGCTGAAGAGGGATTTCTTTAACGGGGTAAGGAAAAGTAATGAAAAATACTAAAATGCGTCATTTCCTTAACGCCCAGTTAAAAAACTAGTACTGTCTAATAGTCTTTCTTGTATTCAGAACATGTAGGATTCATTTATCGACTATCCTTGTTTAACTATTCGACTATTCGACTATCCTTGTTTAACTATTCAGAAACATGTAGGATTCATAAATTTATGTATTGAAATTTATGTATCACTGAAAACATTTTGTCCCCATTTATAACACTAAAAAACAATACACAAGTTCACAAAAAACACACTCATAAAACCATAAAAAATGTGTAAAACTGTGAAACACATATAATGCTGCACTATTCGACTATTAGGTTTCACTAATCGACTACGTTGTTCAATAACGGAATAAAATTGTCCCCCGCTGACACCATTTTGCTCCCTAGTGAAAAAAATCTAAAACCACAATAAAAAACATTTGTCCCACTAGAAAAAACCACAATAAAAACATAAGTTCAAAAGAAACAAACTACTAAAAAAAAATCTTAAAACTATGAACCACATATAATGAATTCATTAATCGACTATCCTTGTTTAACTATTCAGAAACATGTAGGATTCATAAATTTATGTATTGAAATTTATGTATCACTGAAAAATTTATGTCCCCCATTTAAAAAACAATACACAAGTTCACAAAAACACACTCATAAAACCATAAAAAATGTGTAAAACTGTGAAACACATATAATGTTTCACTATTCGCCTATTAGGTTTCACTAATCGACTACGTAGTTCAATAACAGAATAAAATTGCTCCCTTGTGAAAAAAATCTAAAACCACAATAAAAAAATTTTTGTCCCCATCTATAACACTAAAAAACAATACACAAGTTCACAAAAAACACACTCATAAAACCATAAAAAATGTGTAAAACTGTGAAACACATATAATGCTGCACTATTCGACTATTAGGTTTCACTAATCGACTACGTTGTTCAATAACGGAATAAAATTGTCCCCCGCTGACAACATTTTGCTCCCTAGTGAAAAAAATCTAAAACCACAATAAAAAACATTTGTCCCACTGGAAAAAACCACGATAAAAACATAAGTTCAAAAGAAACAAACTACTAAAAAGAAATCTTAAAACTATGAACCGCATATAATGGTTTCATTAATCGACTATTATTGTTTCACTAATCGACTATGCAGTTCAATAACAGAATAAACCCCACTGTATTTTGTGGAAAAACATCATAAAAATTGTGAAGGTCCAAGAAAAGGGCAAAATCGTTCTTGGAATTTCAGGAATTGGGGCAAATGACGACGGAGGGCAAAATCGTTCTTGGAATTTCTGGAATTGGGGCAAATGACGACGGCTAGGGAAAAGGGCAAATAGACTTTTCAATGGAAAATAAAAGAAAAAAAAAAAAAGAAAAAGAAAAGGAAGGAAAAACTTCAAAACGCGAAACTAGTTTACCGCGGAATAGAACTGTGTTAACGGGGTAAGGAGAAAAATGGAAAAATTGCGTCATTAGTTTACCGCTGAAGAGGGATTCGCTTAACGGGGTAAGGCAAAACTGAGAAAAACAGAAGAATTGCGTGATTAGGTTACCGCTGAAGAGGGTTTCGTTTCGGGGGTAAGAAAGAAGTAGAAAAATTCATTAATTCGACAGCACAAGCACTACAAGAAAATAGACTTTTAATAGCATATTGTTATAGCATTTTTGTATTAAGTGCTGTAATAACCAATAAGAATAAAAAAAACGCTATAATATTGTGGGCCGCCCAAATTTTATTTTGGTTAGACTTTCAAATAGGAAATATATTAACTACGGGGATAACCCCAATTCATTTAATTAAGTATTACAAATACAAACCCTTCAATTTATCTCTCAGTCGCCGACTCTCTCCGACCAGAATTTTTTTTCCAACATTTTGTAGTCGTCGTCTCTCACTCCAAGGTCGACATGACGACGCCATCTAGTCGGTTATTTCTCCTTTGCAAATTATCTTAATTTCAGTTTATTTGCTATATTGATTCGCCCACATAGATTGTTTATTCGATGACGGACATTGTTCAAATCTATTGTAGATTACGATTATGTAAATTCAATTAAGACTTTATAATTTAATTTTCGATTATATTTTTAATTCCGTTTTCTCCTCCTACCATTTGTTCATTCTTGTATGTAATTTTATAATTATATTGTTGTTTTATGGTAGAAATGGGGCATGTCATGAAAATTACGAACAAGGAGTTTTTACAAGATATTATAGTGCGTAAATCATTGAATATATCCATACTTCAAGATTCACAGACAAAGTTCTTGGAAGTACTGCTTTGAAATATGGATGACATGGAATAATGTCTGGGTTTTTTCCTCCTCTGTATTATCCTGCAAATATATGAACATAACTATTATGTATCCTTTTTTTTTTTCCTGATTGCAGGAGAAGCTTTATGATTTGATATTGAGGAATAAGATAGCAAGAAGATGGGGTTACAATGATGGCTAATAACGTACTCTCCTATGTTGAGGTTTTCCTTTCTCGTACTTTTGCCGAATATTATATGATGTATTGTTACTGATTTTTTTAAACTTTTTTATGCCATATATCCATTTTTCAGTCTTCCATTAGATACATTGGTTAGATTAACATGGATATTGTTAGTGTTCGAGTCAGAATCTATGTTAAGGGGTTTATAAGACATGATGAGTTTTGTATTGTTAAATGAGTTATATACTTGATGATTTATTTTCTATAACCTAATGTACATTAATTCAAATTTTGAAGATGCAGTTGTATTTCTTCATATGAACATATTATGTTGGTTCTTAGATACAGTAAAGTGCAATGAAACTGTGAAACCCAAGGCATTGCAAGCTTTTATTCTTGAGTTCACGAAACTTATTATTTCCCTGTTTTTGAGTCTTGTCTTTGTATGAGAAATTAACACAACCTTTGTCTTCTAACTCCTTTTATTTTCTTTCTTTCATTTTCAGCTTCTAGTATCATTTGTAAAGAGTCATAAAAAGAAATACATGAAGGGATTCAATATGAGCTATATGTACAATTCTGTTTGATTCAATTTGACTGTCAAATCTCGTTTATGCTTCCCATCTCCATACAGAGAGTAGTATACTCTGTTTTGAGTTAAATATGTGCTTGAAATGGAATATGGAGATAGGTAATAAAGTATTTTAATAGGGGAAAAGTAATTTTAGTTTTTCTTGTATGTTAACAAGTAATTTTTTTTCTTATTCAATTATGTAACAGGTCAAGGATGAGAAGATAGAATTGTTGTTGTAGATATGAATTCTTCCTTGAATTGCACACCTTTTTTTGTTTTTATTTTTGTTAAGACATTGTATACATCTATTTTTCTAGTCAATATAGTATGAATACTGAATAATGGAAGATAGTTCTTGTATTGTTTCATGAATTTGGTTCAGTTTGTAATGATGATTATTTATTTTTTTATCATTACGAAATATTGTGTTTAATTGTTTCTTTTATGAAGTTTATTTGTTCTTTTTAATTGCACAATATTGAAATATTGAAGAAAATAAATAGTATAAAACTACTACAATTGCATTGTGTAAATGCTATCAATTAAAAGATGATAACATTTAATTAATGTTATCTTTAACAATTCAGTAGCGTTCGTAAAGTGCTATAGCAGATTAATAATGGCTTGGAAAACGCTATTGTACCCATATAATAGCGTGTTCGTAAAGTGCTATAGTAGATTAATAATGGCTTGGAAAACGCTATTGTACCCATATAATAGCGTTTTATATCTATTGTAAAAATAAATACGATAGCATCTTACAAAACGCTATGTGAAATACAAGATATAATAGCGTTTGAAAAACGCTATAAAAGAATTGACACCTATTATAGCTCCGGCAGACATAGCGTTTGTAAAAACGCTATGAAATCCTATAATAGCGTTTTTCAAACGCTATGGATAACGATTTTTGTTGTAGTGAAGACCGACCTAGGGAATTTGAAGCTACACCGACCCCATTTCACATTTTCGCTTGCGCTCTTATTTTTCACACAATTTGAAGCTACACGATGCCGCCGATCAAGGATCTGAGTAGGAGAAAGAGGAAGGGGGTACAAAATGATGAGAGTGTGGAGGAAGAGAAAACTGTGAAATTGGGCAAACCAAAAAGGAGGAGAAAACCACTGCAAGATGGGGGGGCAACTGAGGAAGTTGAAAGGGACAAGAGTGAAGGGGGAATTGAGAAAGTTGGAGGAGGAGGATATTCCCGTACAAGTAATATGGATAGTGCGGCAATGATTGAGGTTAGGAATAATTGGAGTTGGGAGTTGTTTGTCTTATTTTTGTATAATCATTTTATTTACCATTTTTTGAGTCATCTTGCTAATCCGTTTTATTGGGGATGGTTGGCGCTTGGGTTGTCGATTGATTTTACAGGCGAAGGAGGACGAGCGTAACACGTGTCACCAGTGCAAGAGGAATGATAAAGGAAGAGTAGTACGCTGCACCAAGTGTCTCACTAAGCGATATTGTGTCCCTTGCATGACTAAATGGTATGAGACTCTTTTTGCTTTTGGAGTTCATTTTTACTTGTATTATTTGATCAATGGTTCTTTTGATTGGGGCTTGAGTGGCTAAAGTGTCTGAACATGAGTTCCGAAACATTGTTGAACCAGATTTCGAGTTTACCTGTCTATGTTCTTCTTTTCTGCATGAGTTATATAACATCTTTTCTATTAACAGTGAGTTGTTGGCTATGGATGTTGATTGAAAACTATCTCATAACAATGTTTTCCTTTTTAGATTTATTATTGTATCTTTGATTCCGTTAGTGTCTGAAAAAGTAAAGTCCTGTTCCCAGGTATCCTCAGATGCCGGAAGAGGCTTTTACTGAAGCTTGCCCTGTTTGTTGTAGCAATTGCAATTGCAAGAGTTGCTTGCAAATGGATGGTCGAATTAGGGTTGGTTTTTATCCATCCTGCACTTTCATATATATATATATATATATTCCGCGAGTGCGTTTTGTCATTTCATATTGTTTTCCATATTCTCTCTCTTTCTTGCTCTCATCTTTAGGTTAAATGATTTTTCTATTCAGATTCAATGTTTTTGTATTGCATGCAGGATTTAAAATTATTAACATTGAAATATGGCCATGAAGAAAAGATGGAGTACTCTAGATACATGCTGCAAAGGCTTCTGCCCTTCTTAAAACAGTTCCATGAAGAACAAATGGTCGAGAAGGAAATGGAGGCTAAGATAAAAGGTATTTTCTTTTCCGGATTCGGATAACTTGGAGGACTATGTATGTGATTCGGATTTCTTTTGCTGTCGAGTTAGTATTGGACTCATTTAGTGTAGACCTCTATCTAAGCTAACTTATCATGTAATTAATTGACAAATCAGAGGTTTCGTGTGTTTGCATAAGCTTTCCAAAATCGTAAATGACGAATTACTTATGTAATGTTTAGTGTATATCTACTTGAGATTCCTTATGTACACACTTTATCTTCCACATACATTAGGACTATATAAAGTGAGAAAACATAAGATTCTTGTGAGAGAAGAAGAATAACAAAACATTCTGAGAGAAAAATAGAGAAGTAAAAAAGGAAATTTTAGTTTTTACCAGACAAAAGAGACTATGTTGCTTCTAATCAATTAATCAACAACAATCAAGACAATCCACCACCACATCCAATCCATCAACCATCTTCAATTTTTAAACACCAACACCATTACCAACAAGAGGAGGTTCGTGCTCTAATGTGTTTCGACGTTCTGAGGTTGTGGTGGTGTTGGTGTTGCGGCTATGGTGGTGGTTGTGTTGCGGCTGTGGGGTAGTGGTGGTGTTGTATTGCCGCCGACGACAACGATTATTTGAGCACGAGGACGAAGTTAGTGAAGAAAGAGGGGGCAATTGAGGATATGATAAAAATTAGGGTTTCTTTAGGAATTTTTGAAATTGGAATTTGGTCCCTAAGCCTTTAGATTATTTGTAATCAAATCAAATTGAGTTTATCTTCATTTATAGGAGGGTATTTATATCAGCAAAATCAAAGAAATGTTAGAGTAGGTGACCAACAAGCCAACCTGTGGCTGTGGTCTTTCGTATTTATTATTGTAATAAACGAACCTTTATTCGTATTAATGATAAAACACATTGGCATTCTATATCTTTGTCCCTTTGTCACAAGCATAGATATAGTCCTTACAGTTATTACAAGTACTAGTAATTGATCGTTAGGATCGTGAGATATTTACTTAAGTATTATAACTGTTAAACGTGTTCCTAGTCGAAGGGTTACGCCACTAATGAGGATATCGGCCTTTCCCATTAAGACTAGCACTTAGTGTATGTGTACTGCATCTCATCAGTAAACGGTATTGTGATATCGGAATGCATAAGTGGGTGCTCGTAAGTTGACGAGTTCACTGAACTCCCTCACCCTAGAAATCTCTAAGTGGTTCCCAATAATCGAGTAGAGATATCTATGGTATAGTTGTACACCATTAGTCCTTATGACCTAGACATCACCGTGACTTCACTAGAGGACCAGCTGTATCGTGACCTGTCCCTGAGTTCCACCGAGGACCATCCCAAGGGCCAGTGTTCGTGCAGTCCGAAATCTAGTGGGAGGTCTGTGCATTGTAGTCGGGGATTCGATCGCTAGAATAGTCTTGGATGTCTTGTGTGTTCTGAAAGTTTGTAATCATTCTAAGTCTCTGGCCAGAGCTGACTAAGTGATGATTAGAGAATTCGATTCTCTAAGTCATGCACGTAAGGATTACAACACTTAGAACGATCGCACCGTCATCGAACATATAAAGAGGTCTCGATGAACCAATGCCTCTAGTTCGATCGGGACATATGAATCGAAGGGACCGTACTGTACGTTAACTATATCTGAAGGTTCTTGCAGGCACTTCATTTGTATCTAGGGAATCATGACGCGTAGTTGCTAGACGCCAATCTTGATTCGTTGGGTGATTAAGGTGAAACGAGTTTCATCTTAATCGTAACTCTAAGGGGACGAGTTTTGACCACAAAGGGTTGTGGGCCCACGGCTAGCTTACACCTGAACCATCGAGGGTCACACTGCTCGTGCACATGAGATCTTTGAATAAACGGTCAGAGATAAAATGGTTTATCTTTGCATGATTGGAAGTCAATATGATTGGGTCCAACATTCGTAATTTGGAATTATGAATGAGAATAAGAAAAGGAAAAGAATAGGCGAAAGTTGTAGTGAACTTTCTAAATCGGGAAGTTTCCAAATTTAGAAAGTGCACTGAACTAGGGTTTCCACTTTTGGAAAGTTGGAAAATGAAAGATGGCACTCGTAATGACGAGGACATTATAATGAATCCGAATATGTAATTGTTACGATTTTCCGATCATTGAATTGAGAGAGACGAGCAAGTGAAGGAACTAACGAGCTTAAGCTGTTGGGCCCGGTCCAACTTAAGCCCGTTAGGGTTTTATGCAAGGGACTATAAATACATGATTTATAGGTCTTGCACAAACACACAACACGTCCAAAACCCTAGCCGCTCCCTCTCTCACGCTCGGCCATCTCCCCTCGGCCACCGCGCCATCGTCGCCGGAAAATCGCCGGAATCGGCCATCCGTTGGCCGATCTCTTTCGGTATTCCTTTCCTTCTTTCTTTTCTTCCGTTATTCTGACTATTACGTGTCTAGTGCCACGTGTTTAGTAGATCGAAGTATACGAGGTGAAATCCAAGAGGAGGAAGATTGAAGAATCGAAGATGCGAGAAGGCAATTCTGAAAAACTGCTCTCGGATTTTCTGCGCTGTCCAGCGAGAAAATTCGCCATAAATCAACCGGTGATCGGATGGACGTGAAATTTTGACAGAAGCTTCACGACTCATAAATCTACCATCGCCCAGAAGGAATTATTCATCCAGTGAATACGCATGGAGATACGGAAGTCGGAGCAAGGCTGTAATTTCAGATCAGCAAACAGATTGGATCAATAGGAGTGGGAAGAGCAGCTAGCCATCTTCTCTGCGCGTGAGATTCACGCGCCGCCGTGGCCGTCTCGCCGCTCTTGCCGCTGCACCGCTGCTGCCCCGATTGTACGGATTGGTTTCCGTAGCAATCTCGACTTGCTAAGTGCGCCTACCTCACGCTTCAAGAGGTAATGTTTCGAATCTATTGTCATTCGATTCGGTTACGTTTAAATTAATATATGCATGTTCGTTTTAATAAGAAACTTGTATGACTTTATGTGTCTACATGAAATTGGTTTTATTATTGCGAGCATGATTATTTGATTTAAACGCGAGCATGCTAATTGATTTAATTTCGATTAAGTAATCAAGCATGTTGTTGTTTTAATTTCGCTGGAAGCGCAAAGGTACGCAATTAATTGATTTAATTTGTCGGGCATGTGCTTATGTGCTTTAAAGTCGTTTAAATCGCATAAAATTTTTGTTTTCCGCTGCGTACACGTGCCCGAAACCCAACAGTGGTATCAGAGCTCGTTGCGTAATTAATTGCGTCGTATAATATGCTATTATTTTATGCATGTTCGATTTATTAAAGTAGTGATTGTTGGGAGTTTTCGTAAGTTTAAAATATTTTTGAAATATTGTTTAGAGTTTTTCCAGCTTTAAAATTGTTTAAAATTGGAAAATCGGATCTGAAATTTTTTTAAAAATGTCGGATTTTTAATTGTTCGGATCGAACCGGTCGAACCGACCGGTTCGATGGTTGTGTGCGATTTAGTTTACCAAATCCACGTGGATTCGGGTCGGTCAGACCGGTTCTCGGTCCGACTGACCCGGCCCACTGATTTGGGTCAGCTGGACCGGACAGAACCGGACCGCTTCGGTCCGAACCGGTCAGACCGGTTGGGCCGAACCGGTTCACTGAAAATAAAAAAAAAAAAAAAAAAAAAAAAAAAAAATTCAGATTTCTAAAATTAAACTTAAAACAAATTGATTTTAATTTTTGGAAAATTATTTTCAATTAATCCCAATTAGATAATTGGATCGACAATCATCTATTTTAGTAAATAGGTGTTAGATTAATTAAATTGATTTAAATTGTTAAATTGATTTCAATTAATAGAACACATATATAATGTTGATTATATATTCAACTTAATTAGTAGTACCTTAACATTATTTGAATGATTTATGCTAGTTGAGGTTCTATAATTATTTTGAAAACTCGATAATTAATTAATGTAATTAATTATGAAATTAGGTCGTATGTTCCTCTTAGGACAATATGCGCTTCCATATACCTTTAGAGAACATAGATGTAGGAATCACATAGACCAATCCAAAACCTTCTGATGAGATAAAACTTTTAAATAAAATCCCTCATTCTTTTAATTAAGAATCATTTCAAGCTATAAAGAAAAACCCAATCTGTTGAGTTATTTCTTTCCTTCTGCCAACGGTTGGATTATGTGTAGCCCTTTACTATAGTGCAGTAAGCCGTGTTAGCGGGGAGTGCTATGGTAGAGTAAGCTGTAATTCAATTGACATAATGATGAAGGTAGCCGTAGAAAAGGGTTATGTTGGATTAACGTGGTCGGCTAGATTAACTAGGGACTGCATTAGTTTGGCATAATCAAGTTCTATGAGCATCTTTAATTGGTAGGTTAGACTTGACACACGACGATTTTGATATTCGCGAGATTAACTTAGGCCATTATCAAGTGTGAGGAAAATTAATTTAGGGTCATATTGTGGATATGATTGATTGTGATCTACCTTTGGGCAAATATAATAGGGCTAGATTAACTACGGGTTATATTTGTCTATTGGACCTAAAGCCCATTAAGAAAAATCAGTTTTCTCGTTTGTCTACTAGAGGGAAGTGGAACTCGATAAAATTAGTGGGAGAACAATTAAATAACATAAGTCCAAACATTTAATTGTAACAATCATTTAACGCGAATCTCTAATAATCCTCTTCTCTATATGTCTCAGATAATCATGTCTAAGAATCCCATAATGTCAATCCTCGACAATAAACTCAATGGCCCTAATTACCTAGATTGGTTGCGTAGTCTTAAGCTTGTGCTAACTGTTGAGGGGCGTCTCTATGTTTTGAACGAGAGACTTCCCGCCACTATACCTGCCACAGCGACTGATGCTGAAAAGGAAACTTATGAAGTTTGGAAGAAAGATGACACTCATGCTAGGTGCTATATGATAGCCGCCATGGAGCCCGCGCTTGCGAGGAAATATGAGTCTCACTTGCATGCTTTCGATATAAAGGCTCATCTCGATATCATGTATAGTGAGAATATTAGGGCATCGAGGTACGCTGCTACAAAGGAGTTGATCACGGCGAGACTGCGCGAAGGGACTTCGGTCCACGAGCACTGTCTCAAAATGATCACTCTCCTTGAAAAGCTAGTGAATCTCGATGTCACGTTTTCCTAATTATTGTTAACCCCCTATTCAAGAAACGCTATTTTGTAACTTAATCTCATCATCTTTTACTTCAACATGAACAAACTAGATCCTCCCTTGGATGAGTTAATGAATGTAACAGCCCGCATTTTCATAAGCATTTATATATGATTATATGGAACATATAGTAAATACGAATATACGTGCATTTCATGAATCGAGTAGCAATTTATACGTTCTCTATGTGTTTATGTGATTAAGATACATTATAGTATTTTTAGAAGTAGACATTATTATTAATTGAGTAGTTGATTCTAATTATGTGATTTAATGAATTATTTACTTTAGTCCATGGATTTTAATGATGTGCTTTAATTGATGATTAATCTAGGATTGAGATGATGTGAAATTAGTTTTCGTTATAGTTTAATTGGTATGCTATGGAATTTATTTGAATTATATGTTTTAGTGTGTTGTGTGAGGGAAAGTGAATTACTCCCTAAGTTTATTAATTACAAAGGACTCCCCTCTTCTCTCCTATATTGCTAAGAAGCCCCAAGGTATGTTCTCCCAAATTGCTAATAAAACCCCAATGTCTTTTATATTGCAAATAAGGGCCTCATCTCCCCTATAAATAAACCCCTCCTCTTTATATTCTCTTCACACCAAAAATCAGCCAAAAAGGCTCTCTCCTCTTTCCTTCTTCATCGATCAAAAGCCCCGAAGAAGAATTCTCTTCTTCCACTTCAAGAAGCTCCCATCAAGCCCCTTCCTCTTCTCTCTTCAATCCCTCTCGAAAAGAGAAGCTCCCTCTTCTTCAATTCTGCTAGAAATCTTCAAGAAACAACCCCTTCACATCCTTCAAACCTCAGCCCCAAATCCATCCAAGAACATCCAAGCCAAACCCGCCGAAAATCCACTGAGCTTTGGTTTTCTTACACCTTCATCTTCGATTTCTTGCTCTTGGGTAAGGACCTTTGTCTTTACTGAAATAATAACCTAATTAATATAAAATATATGGGTTTTAATGAATTATATGTTAGTAGTTTTAATTTTGGGCTCTAGAAGATAAAGCTCTTGATGAACACTAAGTGAATTTCAGTTTCGTAGCTTCTGATTGTATTGCATGTCTCATCGGGTAATCCCTAAGATAAAATTATGAAATTTTATGGTAGTCTAGATCTTTCGGTTAGGTTCATGTGGATATAAATTATGCATAAATCGGATTTGTATTGAGTGAATTATGAATCGTTTTCTGAATCTGCACAGTTTCGGAGTCATCCACGAATTATGTGTTAAATAGCTTTTTATACTACTCTTGTTGAAGTGATTTCACTCGAATATGATTATGTACTTATGAAACTAATATTCTACAAAATTTGGTAATTTTTGGATTAAGTAATGAATTATTTGGTATTTTTAAAGTTAGTGGGTCTGTTCTGAATTTCTGCTTATGTTACTGTACTAAATTGATTATATCTCTTACATAGATGATTTTCTTCATAAACTGTTTTAACCCTATACACTAGACTTAGATATGAACATGTGTTCCAAATTTCATCAGGTTTTGATCTACGGTTTAGGAGATATGAATTTCTGAATTTATAGTGCCTAAACTGCCAGATCTGTTTTGACCAAAGATGTAGATATAGATTACTAATGAATTTTCAGGTTTTCAGTCTCGGAGTTTACTGCATGTTTCACAGGTGCCCTGTTTTCCAAAAATCACGAAATTTCATGGGTAACTAGATCTTTCTGTTCTCTTTAATTTGATATATTTTAATCATCAATCGGATTTCAGATGATTAAGATATGAATTATTTACTAAACCTGCACAGTTTTTGAGTCAGCTGAGGATTTGCTTTTAAAATCGATGTTTTTCCAGTTTGATTTCCTTAATTCCACTTGGAATGGATTTATAACTTATAAAACCAGTCTTCGACAAAGGTGTGCAGTGTTTTAACAAAAGGGTGATTTATTGGGTATTTTTAAAGTGGATGGTTCTGTTTCTGTAAGTGTGACCATACTACTGTACTGTTTTACTTATTTCTCTTAGGCTACTGGTTATTTTGGAAAACTGTTTTAAAAGAGTCTTTTCTACTGATACAGGAGTATTTTGTTAAAGTTTCAGAATTTTTGAAGTTATGGTCTAAGAGAAATGTATTTTTAAAGTTAAAAGTGTCAAAACTGTATGATTTTCCTAAAAGGTAAAAGGGTCCTTTGTGAGCATGGTTTAAACTCTTGAGGCACAACATAACATAATAATTGAACATAGATGAAGTGTTCCATGAGTATTGAGCTACATCTAATAAATATTCTTAGACTACTCTATGATTAGAACAATAGGTTGTTCATCGAAATTACTATGTGCTAGTACTTATAATGATTTAGATTTCCGATGGTTCCTTAGTTAAGAAGCATTGGATTTCATTATGTGTGTTTGAAATATGTGGTTTACTCTTCTGAGGTATAAGTATGTATATATATAAGTATATTTATATGTATATCGATAGTTTAGATCTATGATGTTATAGGCGTACTCCCCTCGGGTTGAGGAAACTTATAACCCGTAGTTATAAATTAGAGTATATACGTATATGTATAAGTATATAAATACGTATAAGTGCCTATGTGTATATACGTGTAAAAGGATATGTGTATTGACTACTAATGTTTGATCTCTATGTGCTTACTATATTCTCGGAAATTACTTCCGAATTATAGGATTTAATTCCTTCGAATTACGTGAATGATATAATTGGAATTATTATCGTGTTGCTATTAAGACCTTTGACTTTCGTGCATTCATCGAGTCATTAATTGGTATTGCATGGTCTACTATAGAGAAGTCAAAATTGTAACGTTGCTACGGTTGAATAGACACGGGATACGGGGGGCCGGTATCCCAACAACAGTTACTATAGAACAACAGGGTGGTTAGCTCCCACCGAATGACCGGGCTCAGCATATAAACGTCTATTGCCGATGCTTACGTTAGGGATCCCGACATGTGCATACTTGCATAGAAAAGATTTTGAAAGAAAAATAGTTTTAAAAAGAGTTTAAAAGAAATTTCGTTTTTTAAAAGAAAGGGACTTTTTTTGCCTAAATCGGATTCGCAAGTAAACCGTGAATTAAATTACATGAATTATTCCTTGAATGATTTTTAAGTAGTTTTCGAAACAAAACCATACTTTTGTTATAATGCTCTCGATTTCAAAGAAAATATGTTATGTGCTTATATGTGTATTTATGTGATTGAATATGTGTGACGTGTTTGTATTTCATTAGTTATGATGATGGGTCGAGATAATATAATTAGTTGGAAAGAACATAGACGAATACTTTAGGATTCCCATAGGTCGTGAGTGACACGTTGAGAGAGGCGTGAGTTCGTCAGACTAAGACTAATGTCCTTACTGAGCCAGTGTTTGGGCTCATGCTTTTATGCAAATTATCTTTTCAGGTTCTCCAAGCTATGTAGGAGGCCGGCGGAGAGGAGTTCAAGGAATCACGAGCCTTGGTGCCTAGATCAGTTTACTCGTATTTTCTACGCAACGTTTTATCAAAAAAAAACTAATCATATAGTATAATTTTATTTTGTACTCTGATTTGGGGACCCGGTCTATTAAACGGGGGTATCTTAAATAAAGTTTATTTCCTTCCGCTGTCTTACGAGTGTTTTCTAAACCCCGGTGATGTTTTATGTGGATTATTCCGCCACCTCGAGAGTATTTTCAAAATCCCGTTTATGTTATGGTACACTCTCTATGAAAAATCTTATTTTCCGATTGTGGGTTAGATTTGAAGTAAAGGGAAATGGTTCTAAAATTTTAAAGTGGTTTTTAACATTTGTTGAACTAAAATTTCTTTTAAATCATTGAGGGTGTTACAATGAACATGTTGGTCAGTTTCGAGTCCACCATTAAGAAAGAGAAGTTTGTTCTCATTGCTGCTACTTTTGTAAAGAAGAGTTCTTCCCAAAAGAAGATAAAGGGAAGAGTTCCCTTCCCAAACAGAAAGTTCGAAGTTGGTGAAGGTAGTGGGGGCCCCTAAGGCGAAAATCAGCAAAACGTAAGGAGATAGATCAAAACCCCGCACAACTTTGGCACGCTAGATTAGGTCATGTCTCTTTAAGAAGGATGAACGATTTTGTCAGTGAAGGATTGTTCTCTTTGGAGGACGTGAAATCACTACAAACTTGTGAATCTTGCCTTAAAGGGAAAATGACCAAGTCACCCTACAAAGGGAAAATGGAACGAGCCGAGGGTCTTTTGGATTTGATCCATGCAGACGTATGTGGTCCACTAAGTGTTAGTGCGAAGGGTGGATATAACTACTTCGCCACCTTTACCGACGATTATTCTAGGTATGGGTATGTGTACTTGATGAAGTACAAGTCTGAAACATTTGAAAGGTTCAAAGATTTTAGACATGAAGTAGAAAAGCAACTCGGACGAAGTATTAAGAAGCTGCGATCCCATCGTGGTGGAGAGTACTTGAGCATCGAGTTCATTGACTATCTAAAAGAAAATGGGATACAGTCCCAATGGACTCCACCGGGAACTCCTCAACTTAATGGAGTGTCCGAACGTCGGAATCGAACTTTATTAGATATGGTTCGATCAATGATGGGGTTCACAAACTTACCGGCATACTTGTGGGGTCATGCACTCCGTACTGCCGCGTATTTGCTGAATAGAGTTAACACCAAAGCAGTTAAATCCACACTTTATGAACTTTGGCATTCCCGGAAACCCAATTACAAACATATTAGGATATGGGGTTGTCTCGCTTATGTGAAGCGATTAGTGGGAGATAAGTTGGATAGTAAATCCGACTTGTGCTATTTTGTGGGGTATCCCGAAGACTCGATGGGATACGAGTTCTACTATGTCAAAGAAGCAAAGACGTTTGTTTCAAGAAATGCCACCTTTTTGGAAAGGGAGTTTCTATCCGATAGAAAGGGCAGCATGATAGAACTTGAAGTAGTTCAAGAACCACAAAGTGAAGTTCAAACGCAAGAACAAGTAATCGAACCAATACAACAAACCACTAATATACCTCATGAACCTACGGTACGTAGATCCGAAAGAGTTCGGAAAATGCCGGATAGGTTATTCCTCCTCGAAAATGATGAAGATCATGTTGATCTTGGACAAGATCCAAGAACATACAATGAGGCCGTATCGGATGCGGACATGGGACATTGGCTAACTGCCATGAAATCCGAAATGGACTCCATGTACTCCAACAAGGTGTGGACCTTGGTAGATCCACCTAAGGGAATTGTTCCTATAGGCTGCAAGTGGATCTATAAGAACAAAATTGGAGTGGATGGAAAGGTATCGACCTATAAAGCTAGATTGGTAGCGAAAGGTTACACTCAAAGGCAAGGCGTTGACTATGAGGAAACTTTTTCGCCAGTCGCGATGCTGAAGTCCATTAGGATTTTGCTGGCCATAGCTGCGTGGTACGACTATGAGATATGGCAAATGGATGTGAAGACCGCCTTCCTTAATGGAGATATTGAGGAAGAAATTTACATGGCGCAGCCGGAAGGCTTCATATCTTCTGGAAGTGAGCAAAAGGTTTGCAAGCTCCAGCGATCCATTTATGGATTGAAGCAAGCATCCCGTAGTTGGAACATTAGGTTCGACTCAACTATCAAAGAGTTTGATTTTGAGAAGAATCCGGAGGAACCTTGTGTATACAAGAAGGTTAGTGGGAGGGCAGTAATATTTCTAGTGCTTTACGTTGATGACATTCTACTCATTGGGAATGACGTAGGAATGTTACAGCAAACGAAAGCATGGTTGTCCACACGTTTCTCAATGAAGGATTTGGGAGAAGCATCTTATGTATTAGGAATACGCATCTATAGAGATAGAGCAAGAAAGATGCTTGGCTTATCCCAAAGCATGTACATAGACACCGTGATGAAACGGTTTAGCATGGAAGAATCCAAGAAGGGATTCTTGCCAATGTCCCATGGGGTTCGTCTCTCGAAATCTATGTGTCCGCAAACACCTAGTGAAATCGAGGAGATGAAGAGGACGCCCTATGCTTCTGCCATAGGAAGCATAATGTATGGCATGCTATGTACAAGACCCGATATTGCGTATGCTGTGAGTGTCACAAGCAGATATCAGTCTAACCCCGGCCCGGCTCACTGGAAAGCCGTGAAAGATATCCTCAAGTACTTGCGAAGGACTAAGGATATATTTTTGGTCAATGGGGGTGCCGAGTTGAAATTAGAGGGTTTCACTGACTCTAGTTTTCAATCGGACGTGGACGACTCAAAGTCGAATTCTGGATTTATATTCACGCTTAATGGTGGTGCCGTGTGTTGGAAGAGTTCCAAGAAAAGCACGACGGCCGATTCCACTACCGAAGCGGAATACATTGCAGCGTCCGAAGCTGCAAAAGATGGGACTTGGATAAGGAAGTTCATCCAAGAGTTGGGTGTCATTCCTAATGCTAGTGATCCAGTACCGTTGTACTGTGATAACACCGGAGCCTTGGCGCAAGCTAAGGAGCCGAGATCTCATCAGAAGTTGAAGCATATTCTGAGAAAGTATCATATGATCCGAGAGATCATTGATAAAGGTGAAGTTAAGGTAGAACGAGTCACCTCGGAAGAGAACGTTGCAGACCCCTTCACGAAGCCTTTACCAAGATCGGTCCATGAGAAACATCGAGAGTCGATGAGATTGCGGTTTATGGGTAGTTGGCTTTAGGTCAAGTGGGAGATTGTTAGAGTAGGTGACCAACAAGCCAACCTGTGGCTGTGGTCTTTCGTATTTATTATTGTAATAAACGAACCTTTATTCGTATTAATGATAAAACACATTGGCATTCTATATCTTTGTCCCTTTGTCACAAGCATAGATATAGTCCTTACAGTTATTACAAGTACTAGTAATTGATCGTTAGGATCGTGAGATATTTACTTAAGTATTATAACTGTTAAACGTGTTCCTAGTCGAAGGGTTACGCCACTAATGAGGATATCGGCCTTTCCCATTAAGACTAGCACTTAGTGTATGTGTACTGCATCTCATCAGTAAACGGTATTGTGATATCGGCATGCATAAGTGGGTGCTCGTAAGTTGACGAGTTCACTGAACTCCCTCACCCTAGAAATCTCTAAGTGGTTCCCAATAATCGAGTAGAGATATCTATGGTATAGTTGTACACCATTAGTCCTTATGACCTAGACATCACCGTGACTTCACTAGAGGACCAGCTGTATCGTGACCTGTCCCTGAGTTCCACCGAGGACCATCCCAAGGGCCAGTGTTCGTGCAGTCCGAAATCTAGTGGGAGGTCTGTGCATTGTAGTCGGGGATTCGATCGCTAGAATAGTCTTGGATGTCCTGTGTGTTCTGAAAGTTTGTAATCATTCTAAGTCTCTGGCCAGAGCTGACTAAGTGATGATTAGAGAATTCGATTCTCTAAGTCATGCACGTAAGGATTACAACACTTAGAACGATCGCACCGTCATCGAACATATAAAGAGGTCTCGATGAACCAATGCCTCTAGTTCGATCGGGACATATGAATCGAAGGGACCGTACTGTACGTTAACTATATAGGTTCTTGCAGGCACTTCATTTGTATCTAGGGAATCATGACGCGTAGTTGCTAGACGCCAATCTTGATTCGTTGGGTGGTTAAGGTGAAACGAGTTTCATCTTAATCGTAACTCTAAGGGGACGAGTTTTGACCACAAAGGGTTGTGGGCCCACGGCTAGCTTACACCTGAACCATCGAGGGTCACACTGCTCGTGCACATGAGATCTTTGAATAAACGGTCAGAGATAAAATGGTTTATCTTTGCATGATTGGAAGTCAATATGATTGGGTCCAACATTCGTAATTTGGAATTATGAATGAGAATAAGAAAAGGAAAAGAATAGGCGAAAGTTGTAGTGAACTTTCTAAATCGGGAAGTTTCCAAATTTAGAAAGTGCACTGAACTAGGGTTTCCACTTTTGGAAAGTTGGAAAATGAAAGATGGCACTCGTAATGACGAGGACATTATAATGAATCCGAATATGTAATTGTTACGATTTTCCGATCATTGAATTGAGAGAGACGAGCAAGTGAAGGAACTAACGAGCTTAAGCTGTTGGGCCCGGTCCAACTTAAGCCCGTTAGGGTTTTATGCAAGGGACTATAAATACATGATTTATAGGTCTTGCACAAACACACAACACGTCCAAAACCCTAGCCGCTCCCTCTCTCACGCTCGGCCATCTCCCCTCGGCCACCGCGCCATCGTCGCCGGAAAATCGCCGGAATCGGCCATCCGTTGGCCGATCTCTTTCGGTATTCCTTTCCTTCTTTCTTTTCTTCCGTTATTCTGACTATTACGTGTCTAGTGCCACGTGTTTAGTAGATCGAAGTATACGAGGTGAAATCCAAGAGGAGGAAGATTGAAGAATCGAAGATGCGAGAAGGCAATTCTGAAAAACTGCTCTCGGATTTTCTGCGCTGTCCAGCGAGAAAATTCGCCATAAATCAACCGGTGATCGGATGGACGTGAAATTTTGACAGCAGCTTCACGACTCATAAATCTACCATCGTTCAGAAGGAATTATTCATCCAGTAAATACGCATGGAGATACGGAAGTCGGAGCAAGGCTGTAATTTCAGATCAGCAAACAGATTGGATCAATAGGAGTGGGAAGAGCAGCTAGCCATCTTCTCTGCGCGTGAGATTCACGCGCCGCCGTGGCCGTCTCGCCGCTCTTGCCGCTGCACCGCTGCTGCCCCGATTGTACGGATTGGTTTCCGTAGCAATCTCGACTTGCTAAGTGCGCCTACCTCACGCTTCAAGAGGTAATGTTTCGAATCTATTGTCATTCGATTCGGTTACGTTTAAATTAATATATGCATGTTCGTTTTAATAAGAAACTTGTATGACTTTATGTGTCTACATGAAATTGGTTTTATTATTGCGAGCATGATTATTTGATTTAAACGCGAGCATGCTAATTGATTTAATTTCGATTAAGTAATCAAGCATGTTGTTGTTTTAATTTCGCTGGAAGCGCAAAGGTACGCAATTAATTGATTTAATTTGTCGGGCATGTGCTTATGTGCTTTAAAGTCGTTTAAATCGCATAAAATTTTTGTTTTCCGCTGCGTACACGTGCCCGAAACCCAACAAGAAATACTCGCACAAGCCGTGAGTGAACCACGCGATCTGCTCATAAGGATCTTGTTGGCTTTGACTAAAAAATATAGGGGCAAGTACTAATATTTTTAACATATATACTTTTTGACAATTAGACCTCTAATTGTTGAAATAAATTAAAATTGGGGCTGAATCAAAAATAGATCTATAAATTGGGACTGAATCATAAATATATTTAAAAAAGGGGCTGAAATAGCATGGTCACGTACCTCCATGTGCCTTTTCCATCCTAATTAACGCCAAAATCTAATGGTGGACTGAAAGTGTAAAAAAAGTAAGTGGATTAGATGTATGTCCTACATCCAGTTAAATGGGAAACACTGGATTTAGATAGTAGGAATTTTTTAAGAGATTTTTTTGCGGAATTCATGATAGCAGCCGAAAACAGTTATTTCTTGTGAATATTTGCATGCTAAGTACTGTGATGATGTTAAAAGAAGTTATTGGGTACATAGTTTTCAAATTAATTGACTAGTAACTGCTTTGCATGGGCACTTTGCATGGGCAGGATTACCAATTTCAGAAGTAAAGCCACAACAATTAAACTGCGTGGCAGTTGACCGAATATACTGGTAGATCTCATCATGACTCTTATTTTCCAATAACGAATTCGCTCAGGTTTCAAAAGAGTCATTATTCTATGAATTTGTGCAGTAACAACTGTAAAACATCTATTGTTGATTTTCATCGAAGCTGCCCAAGGTGTTCCTATGATCTGTGCATCACATGTTGTCGAGAGATTCGAGAGGGACATTTGCAGGGTGGGGATGAAGAAGTGGTCATGCATTATGCATTTCGTGATTCAAGTTACTTCCACAATGACAATTGTCACACTGCGCATCATAGTAAGAACGCTTCTCCTATTAATAACAATGAACCTTCTTCTGAAGTTAAAGCTGAGATGAAATCTGCATGGAGATCTGTAGAGGTTGGTATCATTCCATGTCCACCACAATGGTTTGGGGGTTGTGGTGAAGGAATTCTGGAATTGAAGTGTATTTTTCCAGAGAATTGGGTCTTGAAGTTGCTGTCCAGAGCAGGAGAACTGGTGAAGGGACAAGATTTTGAGGACTTGCCTAAAACTTGCGAGGAATGCCCGTGTTTGAACTTCTTTGGTGAGAATGTAATGGCTAGTGATAAATTGTGCAGAGCAGCTTCTAGGCAAGATTCGAGGGACAATTTTTTGTACTGTCCAACAGCTAAAGACCTGCAGCATGATGATATGAAACATTTTCAATTGCACTGGCTCAAAGGTGAGCCTGTGATTGTTAATGGCGTGCTAGAAACTACATTAGGCTTGAGCTGGGCACCCATGGTTATGGCGCGTGCTTTTCGTCAGAATAGAAAGAAAGAAAATGAAGTTCTAGTTGATGTGACTGCAATAAACTGCTTGGACTTGTGTGAGGTCAGGCACTTGATTCTACTTCTTCGTTATGTTTCATCTAACAGCAAAACTCAGAAGTCTCTTACGTTGATATGATGCATGATAATTCAACTACTACAAATTGACATGCATTTTTGAAATAATATACATCATTGAAATAACTAAATAATATATCAATTGTACGTCATCTTTTTAGTGAAAGTTACATATATTTGTATGATCTGTTATCTATATTTCCAGTCATGCACTGCCTATTTTAGACCATACTTGTTTGTTTGATTCGTATTTGGACTACATGTTAGGAGTAGTTGTCCTCTTACAATAAATTTCAAATGTGTTTGTTGTATCTGGTGGTTTATGCGATGATCGTAATTTTTCTGGTGATGCTATTAGATCACTAAACACCAGTTTTTTTTTTCAAATTGTTCTTGTATGTGAGTTAGGTAATCAAGAGTTTCATACTAAATCTTGTTCTTGTATGTGAGTGCCGTGCAGATCTAGCCATACTTGCGTGATTTTTATTTCACAAGTTCCAGTTTGTAATATTTATTTTTCTTCTATTTGGAATTTTCCTAGTTTTTGCTCGATGTTTTTCTTTCTTCTTTGGCTTCTCTTCTTCTCAGTCTTTTCTTTGACATCTAACATGCTATTAGGTATATTAGGAGTCCTAATTTTGAAGTGTCCTAGACTCCTGTGTGTTACACTTCTTTGTTGAAGATGTTTAGTGATCTTCTTTATGGTGTTTTATCTTGTATTTCGACATCGGACTCTTTAGATTCTAAAGTACTGGATTTTGATGTGGTTTTGGTTTGATAAGTTACAGTTTTATAACTTCATTTCAGATTAATTATATCCTTCAAAATTATAATAATATTTGATAGTAAAAATGTAATGGTGCAGTCTACATAGGTTGATGTGAAATCTAATTCAAATTGAATACAACATCTATGGAGTCTGATAAATTTATCGCTCGACTGTTGTCATAAAAATCATTTGGCTATGGCGATTGATTTTGGTGTGGTCCATTCTGTTGAGTACAATTATTCCCTAGAATGTGCGCATGAAATATTTGACTTAGTGCTTCTTGTAACTTAGTTTATTCATCTCAAATTTGTATTAGGAAGTGAAAATCGTTTTATTGTGTAACTGTTTATTGGATGTTATCTATCTTGTTTTTCTCGTTCACCATCTTGTAGATTTGCATGCTTTACGGTGATGTTTGAGTTGTCAATGATGGAAAACTCATCAGTTTTCAATCACAACCAGGTTGTCATAAAAATCAACCAGTTTTTCAAAGGGTATTTAGAGGGTCGGTTTGACAGTTATTCTTGGCCTGAGATTCTCAAGTTGAAAGACTGGCCTCCTTCTAACTTGTTCGAGGAGAGCTTACCTCGTCATGATGTTGAGTTTATCAGATGCTTGCCCTTTAAAGAGTACACACATCCTCACGATGGCTACTTAAATCTTGCTACTAAACTGCCAAAGATTTCTCTGAAGCCAGATATGGGGCCAAAGACATATATTGCTTATGGAGTTGCTCAGGAATTGGGGCGGGGTGATTCTGTAACAAAATTACACTGTGATATGTCTGATGCAGTACGTCCTCTTATGTGAATCTTCGATATTTTGCTACTTTTTAATATTTGTTAGGAGATAGTTGGACTACATGAAGTTCTTTTTGCTTTATAGGCTAGGTTGTTGGTTGTCATTTGCTAGTATATTATGCTGATTTGTTTTGTTATAATGTCCGTCGTTTAGGTGAATGTGTTGACACATGAACATGGGGTGACACTTAGACCTAAGCAGCTTCGTACCATTAAAATCCTGCAAATGAAGCATGCTGAACAGGATGAAACGGAAATGCGTGGCAGTAAACAGATATTGAATATAATGGATGAAAACAGTGAAAAAACAGGAAATGTTGGAGAATATGTTGGAAAATCATCCGTGAAAACTTCGATGTCGAAAAAAAAGGGCGGTAATAGCAGTGGGAAGAATAAAGCTGATACCTCAGATGAGGCGGCAAGTGTTAGAGACCCTGAAGGTGGTGCTCTATGGGATATTTTTAGGAGGCAAGACGTACCAAAACTGGAGGAATATGTGAGGAAGCACTTGAAAGAATTTAGGCATATCTATTGTAATCAATTGTCGCAGGTACGGATTAATTTCGTCAAAGTAATATGTTTTGAGGTTAAGGTAAAACAATGTATTATGTCTGTTTGGTTTGATGTTTATAAGATTAAATAGTAAGAATAATAACTTCACGAGTCTTAATAACCTAAAAAGTCAGAATCAGCTTAGAGAAAGACGCGTCTTACATACATGATAGTTTATTACCTGTATTAGCAAGAGTCTTCTAGCATACGTTGCCTTTAATTACCAACTTTTTTCCTCAGGTTGTCCACCCTATTCATGATCAAACGGTTTACTTGTCTATGGAGCATAAGAGGAAACTTAAGGAGGAGTATGGTTAGTCTTTCACTCTTATTTACTTTGTGTAATGGTCGAAAATAATGTTCAGCCTGCTTATCGTTTGTGCTTGAATAGGAATCGAACCATGGACATTTGTCCAGAAATTAGGTGATGCTGTTTTTATACCTGCTGGCTGTCCCCATCAAGTTAGAAATTTAAAGGTACATTGGTTTATGAAATAACACCAAGTCATTTGCATCTTATCTTCTTTCAATTTTGGCCAAAAAGCAATTTGTTTATGTTTATTCCATACCAGTCTTGCATAAATGTGGCGCTTGACTTCGTCTCACCAGAAAATGTCCAAGAGTGTCTTCGATTGACACAGGAATTCCGTGTTCTTCCACAAAATCATAGGGCTAAGGAAGACAAGTTAGAGGTATAATTTTGACCTTTGAGCTTTTAAATGAGTTTTCATTCTCAGATATCAAGTGTCTTATTTATCTTTCTTTCTTTCTAATTGGAATGCATGCATCCATATCCTACTATGATGAAAATTTTGAAATCTTGAAATTTGTCTAAAGGTGAAGAAAATGGCTCTTCATGCAATTGAAAAAGCTGTGGATCATTTGGAGATATTTTCTGGCCCGAACTAGAACTGGCAAGTTTTTTAACTCTAGCCTTGACTTCTTCTGCCAAAATAGACCTCTTTGATCTTTGCTTTGTTTTAATCCAAGGAAACAAAATCTAGTTTCTTTAATACTATCGATGGTTTGCCGCAGGGATCTGCTGTACGAGACGTGGAAACAAGGCTCCAAGAATGTGTTGCTAATTGACAGATTCATGTTCTTAAGTAGATTCGCCGCTGCTTGTACGTAGAACAAACCCATAATTAACTCGATTCTTAGCAATATCCGTACTAGTTCCATCCATAAGTTCGATTTTCTCACGAGTATTATTGCAGTTTGGAATAGATTATGTACTGAAACAATGGTAGATGGACAGAAAACAAAGTGAGCTAGTATTGGCCGGGATAAATATATTACTTGAGAATCACTTCATCTTCATTCTCAATTTAAGGTTACTTAGAAAAAGTTGTTTAGTGTGTTCTTTTATTTGCTAATTGTGCTTTAAAATGTGCGTATAGGATGTGGATTCTCAATTTGTGGTAAAAGAAATAATTTCAATTTAATGATGGAATTCTTGAAATTATTTCAAATACAATTCCGGTTGACCACAGTTCCACTTATTTTTCATAGCATAATCAACATACATTTATGCTCAAGTTAAAAGCAAAATATTTACAACCCTCGTTACGAGAATTGGTACCTAGCCTTACCATTAGGGTAAATATATATATATATATATATATATATATATATATATATATATATATATATATATATATTTTATATTATTATGAATTATTTAAGTAATATAGATTTGTTTCTATTTAAATACTACAATATTTATTATTATAAACTATTTACTATTTAGTTAATAATAATAAGAATAAGAATAATATATATATATATATATATATATATATATATATATATATATATATATATATATATATATAATTAAAAAAAAAAAAAAAAGGCAGCTCGCGAGCTGTCGAACAACTAAATTTGGGCTCGAGCTCGAGCTCGTCCGAAGCTCGAGCTCGTGAGGTCGAGCTCGAGCTCGAAAAACCCTAGCTCGAGTTCGAGCCTTTGTCAAGTAGGCTAGTTGAGTTCGCGAGCCGGTTGGGCTCGTTTACCACCCCTAACTGCGGCTGCCATAATTCGATCCTAGAACCCTGTATCAACTTACCATCTCCAGAACCAATTGAGTTATACCCATGCGGGCAACCCCTTCAATACTTTTTTTTAATAGGGAGAGACCAAAACTATTTTACCATTTGAGAAAAAATCACTCATAATTCCAGCCACCCATTTTACCAATTATGTCTCTGCCACCTCATCAGCACTATCCGCCCATCAACCCCTTTTTTTTTTTTAATTATTATTTTATTATTTTTTAAAATATTTTTTCAAATTTTTTATAATTTTTGTTTTCGTGTTTTAACTTTTTTCTCTATCATTAGGTATATTAATCGACTATGAACCATATTAATCGACTATGATGAATCATAGTTGATTAAGGAACCAACTACTAAAATAAAAAATCACAACTACAAAAAAATGCAAACTCAACTATATTTTACAAATTAAAAAAAATATACAAACATTATAATTGATTTATACAATTGAAAACAATAAACAAAAAAAAATCCAAAAAAATTAAAAATTGGAGTCGGTGAAGGTATTAATCGATGATGACGCATAGTCAATTAAGGAGCTGACTACTAAAAATAACAAATCACAACTACAAAAAAAAATGCAAAATCACAACTAAAAATAACAAATCACAACTACTAAAAATAACAAATCACAACTACTAAAAATAACAAATCACAACTACAAAAAAAATGCAAAAATAACTCTAATTAGATCAAATATGCAAGGGCAATGTAGTAATATTATTTTGATGTAATTAGTTAATTTAATATATAATGATTAAGTAATATATATTGATTACCGGTTCATTTAATTAACCATAAATATATTTATTTGTAAAACATTTAGGTAAATAAAATGATCTAGGATGCCTGTTCAATTCTTGCCCTGGTCACATTTAACTAATGATATAAATTTTATATATAATATTAATAAGGGTAAATTGCATTTAACCCCCTGTGGTTTCACCGTTTGGCAATTTACCCCCTCTGATATCGATTTGGGCATTTAACCCCTATGTGGTTGTCAAATTGTAGCGGCGGTCTAATAAACTAACGGAAAACACTAAATGTCTGAAATGCCCTTTTTTATATACTATTTGTTGGTCCAAACCATGACTAAAACTCTTGTATTTTCTTTTAATAAATAAATATAATTCAAAAAGATTTAATTATAAATAATACAAATTTATAGGAGTAAACTACAATTTTCATAACTTCTTATTTCCCTAATACCTTCTTTCCCTCACCATCAAATCGGTCATTACAGCATCTTCAAGAAAAAAAGAATAGGGAAAAAAAAATCAAAAAATCCTCCAAAATATTCATAAACACTTCCCAAAAACAATCAGAAAATCCGATCAAAAATAAAGTAAGCAGCCCAGATTTTCACCTCAAAACCCATTGCTCGCAATTTTTTTCTTCTTCAGCTACATCTATGCAACTTTCGGTTTTTCTTCGTGGTGGTTCATCCCCTTGTCGTTTCTGCGAATTTTTGATGTCTTTGTGAAGTGGTTGAATAGTATTTTGATAGTGAAAATTGAAACGGCGGCGTTTTGATGGTGGGCTAGTGGTGGTGGTCGACAGCGTTTTGATGGTGGGCTATTGGTGTTGGTCAGCGGCGGCTTGATGGTGGGCTATTGGTGGTGGTCGGCGGCGGCTTGATGGTGGGCTATTGGTGGTGGTCGGTGGTGTTTTGATGGTGGGCTATTGGTGGTGGTCGGCGGCGGTTTGATGGTGGGCAATTGGTGGTGGTCAGCGGCGGTTTGATGGTGGGCTATTGGTGGTGGTCGGCAGCGGGTGGATGTTTCAATATCCAAAACCCTCATCTTCTACATCCACATTTCTTCGGCCCTGGTTTTTTTTTTTCGATTTTTGTCGTTTTTTTTTCTTCTTTTTTTTTTTGTTATTAGATTTGGGTGGATAAATCCTTCAGCCCTCAACAAGTCCTTGTTTTAATTTTCTTCTTTAATTTTTAATTTATGTTTTATAATTTATATACAGTTATATTTTTTATTTAAAAATAAAAGGTTTAATGAACATATGATTATTGAAGAAAAATATAAAATAATTATAAAGTCTAGATATGTAATTTTGAAAAGTAATTAATCTAGAATAAAAAAATATATCATATAAATTTAAAACATAATTTTAATAAGAAAAAAATGAAAGATTGGTGTAACATTTTTTATTAAAGGCAAGACAAAAGGATAATATGGGTATTTTAAAAAAATAACCTTGAAAAATCTTCAACCACTTCACTTTTGGGCGAGTGAGATGCACTCACGGTTAACTTTAACGGATTTTTAGACGGCCGCTACAATTTGACAACCCCAAGAGGGTTAAGTGCCTAAATCGATATCAGAGAGGGGTAAAGTGTCAAACGGTGAAACCACAGGGGTATTAAATGCAATTTACCCTTCAAAATATTTGCTGAAAGTTTAAGATGTATGTTTCATAAGTACAATTTATGAGTTGATCTGTTTTTTCTGTTACAAAGATCGATTTTTTTTTTCTTTCTCTTAAGACCCAATAAGCTCCTTTGGTTTGATGTTTATGAGTTTTCAGTGAATTACATACCCCCTAATATATCCTTCTCAGAGATTGGTTTAAGAAGCAGCCCTTTAGTTAATGTTGAAGAACACATCGATAAGCTCTTATTAATAGAAAAGAGTATGTATTGTTCTTCAATTTTATAATACTTTTACTTTGTTACAATTATTTCTAAATGTTAATATTTTTGCGTGTTTTTTCATTGTAGATTTCAATACATTGAAGGTTAACAATTGAGCAAAATTGGAGAGTGATTCAATGTGGATGGCTGGATGCCCTCTCGGTTTTTTTGTTTGGATGTATATTAGGTGTTGTATTGTTGGTATTTTGAACCTAGGCATGCTTGTTCCCTTTATTTCTTTTTTTTTTTTTTTTTTATAATTTAATTTCATCAAGAAAGCAGGTCTTTGTGTTTGTTGTTGAGGTTATTAGTCCTGTACTACTATGTGTCTGTCTATATGATGAAGTAGGTCTTTTTTTATTTTTATTATTATTAATATTATTCATTCAATTATATATT